AATTGAATGGTCACAGCACAGAGATTTAAATCACAGTGTCAAAGGGCAGAGATTTTTGGGGAGAAACCAAGGTGGCTTTCTGCCACAGTCTGCAACCAGGGTGCCACAGAACCCCTTTAGGGGTACGACGATGCAGGTGTTGCCACTGCTGTGACAGCCAGAAACAACTGCCCCATGTCCAGGATTGAGGCATACATGTGCTCTTGCTGCATCAGGGCTCTGATAATCCTAAATCAACCAATAGAGCTGACTTGGCCAGACCTTCCTGGTCTGGCCCTCCCTGCACCACTCCCAGAGGTACCTGGGACAGTTTCATCCATGCCTCTGTTTCTGAGAAGAGCAGAAGGGCAAGTAGACCAAACCCGGCTACAGTCCAAACTAGATTTCCTGGCTATTTTACGGTTATCAGAATGCCATAATGCAAGACAAGCATGTTCATATGCCAGAGCTCATCCCAGTCTGGCTGCGTAGCAAGCAGTTTTACTTGGAGGCAGCTACACCCAGTTGAGAACCACCAAAGTTGAGGCAGCACAAACAGCAGTTCTCATCCAGGGGTGGAACCACATTAAAAGAGTGGAGGGCTGTCCTGAATCTGAAAAGGTTAAGAACCACTGCTTTAGAAGATGCTGGCTAAGCCACCACTGCTGTCTTGCAGCCATCACTGTTGTCATGCAGCGTGGTCAAGTCACATAAGCTTGTGAGATAGGCAGCTAACTGAGACTAGTTTTAAATAACTGCAGTTCACTCCATCAGAAATTCAGAGATGTCTACTGAGAAATTCTAGAAACTTTACTGTTAACCTGTTGAATTTCTGGTTGTCTCTTTCATCTGCAACAGGTTTCTGTGATTCCAACTTCCCTTTCCAAAATTTTGAAGTGTCAGAAGATGATGATGCTAGTCACATTTGGAAAACAGATCTTCTGCATGCCTTTGTCTAATTATTGTTCCACTGTTGACTATGAGTCAGCATTAATACTGATATCCAATTAATTACTACGTTTCCTGCTTCAGTGCGCTACCTTGCTCTGCCTATATGCTCTTCAATCTTTTATTTTGGCTTTTCATCTACAAATGTAATTTGCCTCCTACATATGATCTTTGATATCTCTCTTCTCCATCCTTCAGAATTCTTTTCTTGCCAATCACTTTCCAATGAACAGGAGAAAGTAAAAAAAGTTCAGTGAATTACAAGACATGCTAGTAAATGGAGGTGTCCTAAGAATTCAGGCATTTCCTAATAGCACTATCAGAGTTGTTACAAAAAGCTAACAAATGCATTGAGAAGATTCAGATGGTTTCTACTCACTGAGAGCCTATTTTATTTAACTTAAGAGAAAAAGAAAGAATTTCCTCAGGATTCAACAGGTTACTGCACGTCCACGACCAATTACCTTTCCATCCATCTTAACATCTATGTGTTGCAAAATGCTAATGCATACAAAAACGTCTCAGTTTCTGTTAAGGCCACTAAATAATATGTTGTCATCAAAAACTAGGCCAGGGATAAGCCATTTTCAACCTTCTGCTTCATGGTGCTGCACTGTATCCGAGTGAGATCACGGTCATGGAGGCAGAGGTGATGTCTCAGTTACCTACATGTAATCCCACAAAATGTCCCAAGTTGTGAAAGGGCCTGCACTGAACTCAATTCAACAGGCAGTATGTGGAGAGAGTGGAAGTGTGAGGGTGATATGATCATGGCAGCTTGCACTGCTAATCAAACAAGCTATGGCAGTGACAGCTCTCTCATGGTTGGTGACTATTTCTAAATTGGGAATGTCAATAATTAAAACTGGAGGTCACACACATGTGGACTATTGCGTCTGATAGGATGGACTACAGTCTTGTGATAAGTCAGAGACAGAAGTATGAATTTTTGCTGCCAGAGGTTCTTTGGCATTTGAAGACGCATCATCTCATTAGCTCTCTCAAGTTGTATGCAGATATTGAATAATACAAATGAAAGGTTAAATGCTTGTAGGATTCTACAGGTAAGTACACTAGAGACAGAAAGGAACATTTGTACCCATAGCTCTGAAGATTCAGTCTGAGAAAAAGACTGCAATTTTGCTTAGGAGTCATGTTTACATCAGAAGCTTCCTAGAGGCAGCACAGGACAATTTGGCAGTCAAGAAAATGATGATACAGAAGTCATCCCTCAGAATAATACTCTCTCTCTTTACTGTTTCCTAGCCTGAAGCCTGACAAAGAACAGTTCATGATACTGGCAAAAACAGCGTCTCACAACCTTAGGCCACACCATAATTAGAGTTGGCCAAGGAACATTTGACAAAAATTTTACATTTGAATATTTCGGAGTCAATAGATTTCTCCACTACACACTCACCTTTTGATGATCCTTTATTCCTACCTCTCAGCATCTTGCTATAGATGTGTAGACACTCACGCTTCTAGACCTAACAGATTAATGCTTTCTGAGAACCAGTAATCAATGATAGATGTCACAGAGTAATGAATAACTAGTGCAGTGATTTTCAACCAGGATCCCATAGCACCAGGGTGCCATGATAGCCTCTGAAGGGTGATACAGGGAGAGAGGAGATAAACACGATGCTCTTCAGGAGATAAGTGCTGTTTTTGAAATGGGGTGCCTCTCAATTTACAAAAAATTACAGAAGGATGACTCAAAATCTAAAACGTTTAAGAACCACTGCTCTAGGGGGTTTCAAAGTAGTATCTAACTTCACATAGTATAAACTTCACATACACAGAGAAGTGATAGAAAGTAGTTAGAATGTTGTTTTCATACTAGGATGTCAAACTCACTGCAAACCCCAGGCCAGATAGCAGGATGGATCTATACTGGGAGGCAGTGCAGACCCACGTTTAGGTGGCAGCACAGAAGCAGCACAAGTCTGGGATCAGGTAGCAGCACGAGCCCACCAGCATGCAGCGGCATATGGCTGAGTTTGAGCAGTGGCCATGAATCCAGGGGGCTGCCACTGACAGCCATGTTCATGAGGGTCCAGGGACCCCGAGTTCTGCAGCAGGCAATGCCCCCCAACTTCCAGCAGCCAGCCAGACTAACTGGTTCCACAGCCTGTATGTCTGACACCCCTGTTTTAATGCCTAAATACCCTTACAGTATGAAGCAAGCTGCTATGGCTAACAAGTTCTAAATTTAAACAACAGCACACACCACCAGGCAGAACCTTCCTCCTCACGCACGTTCTGAAGCCAAAATATTTTTCTTTTTTTTAAGCAAATGAAACGAGGACATAGCACACCAGGGAAAATGACTATGTAGTACAGTATACAAAGTAATGGCTGCTACTTTAACTACAGTAGTAGTTTCATAGATTTCATAGACATTAGGGATGGAAGGGACCTCAGAAGATCATTGAGTCCAGCCCCCTGCCCAAAGGGCAGGAAGACAGCTGGGGTCATACGATCCCAGCAAGATAAGCATCCAATTTACTCTTGAAGGTGTTCAGTGTAGGTGCTTGAACCACCTCCGATGGCAGGCTGTTCCAGACCCTGGGGGCTCGGACAGAGAAGAAATTCTTCCTTACGTCCAGCCTGAAACAGTCCTGCAGTACTACAGCTCTACAAAGGGACTACTTGCATCATCAGTAAAGTTCTATATTTTCAGGGGGAATAGAAAATATTCAGATATGGATTCATTCCAGGTACGCCTTGTCTCA